GCAACAAAAGGTAGTGCTAACCCTGCTGGAAGATGCAAAGCAGAAAGAAGAAAATTATCCTCAACTATATTTCCTTGGATGTCTTCATTACCAACCTCCATATGTCAATAATTTGTTTCTTACTCTTCTATGTTTTCAGATAAAATACTAAATTTGCTCAGCATGGAGCAGTTTTTTACTTTTACTTTTTGAACACTGAGCAAAATTCTGCCCTTCTTTCCCCCTATGAAAATGGCTTTGACAGTTGTAGATGTGAGATCTTTCTGTGTTTCCATCCCTGTCATGAGGTCAACCTAACAGGCACAGATTAAATCTTCTGGGAGCAGATTCTGAGATGGAGATTTGCATGCAAAGGTTTATTGGGGAGTAGCACTCTCATTATTGACACTTGTTGGAGGAAAAGAAGAAAGCAGGTTTGGGCAGAAGATGGGCTGTGGTGTAGTTATAACAAGACCTCAGCCTACCCTTCAGGGAGCTCTGAAGTTAGTTGAGTTGCCCCATTTGGGGTGAAAGGGTGGTGCCTTTATTCCCCATATAACCAGTTATTAGATACAAGCTGATCTGGGAAGCCAGTATAACCTTAAACTAGGCAGCTCTCCTCAGCCAACAACTTTCCCAGAAGCTGGAGGAATAAGTCCTTTGGTGCTAAAGGGGGTCTTGGGTGGTACAGCACAGCATCCTTACACTAGCCAGATGGCATCCTTGTTTAGAAAGAGTTGCCACATGCCATATGTAGCTCCCAGTCCAGTAGGGTTGGTTTGGTAATAGCTGCAGCCCAGTTCTTCATTCATAATCACCTTTCCACGCTTCTATTGTTATGCTTCTATATGATCTTGGTTGAATGCAGATGACAATCTAGCATTTGCCCAGTTACCGATGTAGTGATTCCCATTCTTTAAAACAAAGAAGAAAAAGGAGGTGGGCAGCAACAGTGGTTGGAAATCAAGATGAGAAAATTTGCTGCTCAAATAAAAGTAGCTTTCAGTACTACAAAGTAAGGTGTGTTAAAGTTCACTCAGAGTGGAGGACAATTCGGAAGCTGCTAAAACAGCAACGTTATTTTTACAAAGCCAAAAATATAGGAGGTGTTATGCACCTCACCTCCTATAAGCACCAATGCCTGCTTCTGCTCTGCCTCCAGAGACAAACTTTTCTTTCCTTTTTTCTCCCTCAAACTCATATTTATTCTCTTTGGTCAGCTACAACAGGGAACAAAGTATAATAAATTGAGTACGAAAACAAATAAAAGCTTTTTTTGGATTGCTCACTGACAGGTACTGAATTGAGGTGGCCACTCCCCCCAGGATTCGAAAGTACACAGCCACATGCTCAAGCAGACACAGAGAAACTTTGCATGATAAAAGATACTACGTTGTTAAGCCACCATTGTGACTTGCTCAGAAATGTGAGCAAGTCTCATAGCCCAGGAGGCCCCAGACCTAAGCTCATTAAGAAAGCAGTGCGATTTTGAATAGGTAATACATTTACATGGTTCAAGGAACAAGTATAAAAAGATCTATAAAATCAGGGTTTAGTAAGAGACCTCTCATTTGTGACAGCAGGCAACATATACAGCTGCACTCATCTGTCATCTATGTCTTCTAGGAGCTTATGCTCTGAGAGAATAGCATGAGTTGTATTTTTTAACCTTTATCGTTTTAGTACTTACAGAAAATAATACTTGCTTCTTGTAAGATAGTCAAACATTGCATAAACAAATGACAGTGCAAGTAGAAGTTCTTGGCAATCCTACACCTTAGAGAAAACCACTGCCAGTGCCTTCTATTTTTTCTATACATATACAGACATGTAGTTTTTACAAAACTGAAATTACACTATAAATGCTATTTTGTCACTTTTTTCTATATAATATTATATTACAGAAATCTTTCATTTTATTATACAGAGATTGAGCTATCTTTTGAACAGCAGCATAGTACTTTATGTGTGTATAGTATAATGTATTTCACCAGTTTTATTTTGAATCCCCTTTAAATTTTTGTCACACAGTGCCTTAAATCAGTTTCTCCATTGCTTATTTTTTTATCTTGAATTCAAATCTCATCTCAGGAGAAATAAATGAGAAGTCAGTATGGGAAGCTTTGTGTGGGAAGAGAGTCATCCACAAAGGCCTATGTATGGGCAGGGGGATGCCAGAAAAAGGGACATACCTGGAGAGTATTAAGCTAAGCGAAATAAGCCAGTAAGAGAAGGACAAGTATCAGATGATCTCACTTATATGTGGAATCTAATGAACAAAAGAAGCTGGCAAACAAAACAGATCCAGAGACATGGAAGCACAGAGCAGACTGACAGATCTCAGAGGGAAGGGTTAGGGGGTGGGAAGAGATTAACCAAAAAACTTATATGTATATATGAATAACCCATAGACAGGCAATGGTGTGGTGAAGGCCTGGGGAGGAGGTGGGAGTAGAGAGGAGGGGTTCAATGGGGGAGGAAGGGGGACATCTGTAATACTTTCACAATAAAGATAAATTTAAAAAAATAAAAATATATATAGTAACCTGGTATATCCCAAATTAAAAAAAAAAAAAAAAAAAGACATTCAGGTGCAATTGCCTTGAGTAACAAGGAGAGTACTGAATAAGTGGTAAAGACCATCTTCCAGATTTGAGCAAATGTGCAAGCAGGGAAGACGTAAGGATTGGGATGGGGTAAAGGAATTAAAGGAAAGAAGATAAAAGTAGGTAGAAATGGAAGAATCTTGATACGTGGATGGTGAGTTGTTACAGAGCAAAGGTTTTACAGTGAGAACTGATATGCTTCAGTTGAATCCAAGCTTGATATTAATTCATGATATAACATGGTTATTGAAAAATATTAGCAATCCCTAGTAACAGCACATATCAAAGCAAGCAATATCTCATCATCATTCACACTAGTCAGGTCAAATCTGAATTATCAGGATCAATAAAATATTGAAAAATACCCATAAGTGAAAGAACGGTGAAGGAACTTATCATCATGTCGTAAAAGTAATTGTTGAAGGATTGGGATGTCTTTCGCCCTGAAGAAAAGGAAGAAAAGGAGAGATACATAAACTGTTTTTTAAAATGTGAGGGACTATCACATGGAAAATGGATGAAACTTGTCCCTTTGGCCCCAAAATGGTGGAAAAGGACTAACTAGTAGAGATTACAAGAATATAGGTTTTGAATCAACAGACAAAAATACTTGTATTTTGCTAATGGGTCTTTTAAAAAGTTTAATTTAAATATATTGAAGACACCCTGTGTAATTTCTTTGCCATTATTATTCAGTCAATACTTTCTTCATAAATAGTACAGAAGTAAAATTCAACCTAGTCTTTGGTGAGTTTTCGTAAGTTGTTAATTAGTGGTACTCAAAATAATAAGGCCTTATTGTATACTGCTTAAGAATGATTTTCAAATACTTTAATCTCTTTCTTCCTATGCTTATTTCTTAATCCCATGCCTTGGCCCACCATGTACCCTCAAATCCCACTGAAGCAGAGAGCACATTGAAAACCCACACAAAAATGTAAATCTGAGAAATAAATATGTGTGGTTGGTTTAAAAAGAGTAAGAATTAACATTTAAAGCAATGGCAATTTGATCTGTAATTTTGAGCTCCTATGCTGAAATTGCTCATTTGGAAATTACTAAGTGCTTGGGTCTCATTTGTGATCTTCTTCCTGCATACACCCATCACACAAAGGAGTCATAATGACCAGCTGAGTCACTGCTGCCATCTCCCTGAAACATGCTCTCCAAATGTCAATACCATTTTCTGTGGTGCAGTGAAGAAGATTCCCAATGGTAGTCTGCTTACACTACAGGGTGAGCCCAAGACAGCACTGAACCTGGAATGTGTTTAAAGGGCAGTACAAGCTTCCTCCATTTTCTGCTCCTCCTGTGGCCAAACCGTTACGCCACAGATCATTTTCAATTTGCAAATCATACCCATCACCCACTTCCACTAGTCATTACTTAAATATAAATGGAAAACCATTTAAATTTATTGGAGGAAGGGAGATACTTTTGACCATAGCCCAACAAAATTATGTGAACACTTGATGAAATTATACTCAAATTATGGACAAATGCCAGAAGCAAAAGTAGAGGCATGATATAATATAGAGACACAAGTAGTCTAAAAGACCAGTACACAGGAACTCCTGTACTATCTTGTGGTTCATACTTTAAGATATACTGTTCTTCCCAATTTCACAAACCCTGACTCCAAAAAGGTTACCAAAAACTCAAACATCAGATTTTTTTCCCTTTTCCATTTGGCATAGATCCAGGGTGTTAGTAATTAATAGTTGTCTGATATAAATTAACTAAAGAGAAAGCAAGAATCTCTGGTAAATTTAACTGAGAAACAGGAAGAACTCAGGAAGATTTAATATGATTGAACTTTTTCATAATGTTGTGATCAAAGAATCAGTATATCTTTGTTATAGACTGGTGTTTTTTTTCAGGTTTTCTTAGACTTATATTGCTTGAAAGATGTAATTTACTTTGTTGGCTTGGTAGCAGTCCATGAGGAAGAAAGCTGAGCCTGTGTAAGGATAAGCCATATTATAATGAGGTTGTATCTCTACTAAAGCTGTCTCTAGTTCTAAAGAATGCTTACGTGGGAGATGAAAGAAATGAGCTTCAACAATAGGAAAGATTGTAGCCAGATATAAGGAAGAAGTTCTTGGCATTTATTCCATAGATATTTTTATAATACATGTCAATAAAAACAATTCAGCTGTGATTGATTAAGTACAGGCTTGATAAACACCTAACCTGGTGGCCACAAGTTATAGAATCTTCTATCCTTTAAAACAAGATAGAGGTGCCAACTGTAGTGAAGGTTAAGGCTAAGGTTATGACTAAGCCTGCTGTCCACAATAGATAAGGTTCACAGAGACCCAGTGGACTGTGAATGAAAACTCAGTAGAACCTTTAATACCTACAGAAAGAACTTTAAAAGAAAAAAATCATTATAGCTGTCTTTCCTTCTTTCAGGATTTTCCATCCTCCAAGCAATTATGGAAGCAGCAGTGCAAAACAACTGGCAAGTGACAGCAAGGTCTGTGGGAAACATAAAGGATGTCCAAGAATTCAGGCGCATCATTGAAGAAATGGACAGGAGGCAGGAAAAGCGATACTTGATTGACTGTGAAGTCGAAAGGATTAACACAATTTTGGAACAGGTAAGTTAGAGATTTATTCCACCTCCAGCCAACATGTTAAATCTTCAACCTGAGGCAGTTCCCATTCCTGCTAATAAATTAAGTAGCCAACCAGACTAAATGTGCCAACAGTTTTTGATAGTCTCTAATCCTTTTTTCCTCCCCAGTGGCTGCAGGAACAAAAAGAAAAAAAGAAAATCTAAGCTGCTGAAAATTGTATTACCATGATTAATGTGGAAGTCTCGGCAATTTAATGCTACCTATCAGATAAACACATCCTTCCACACCTGTTTCATAGATAGCTGACTCAAAGTAATCCCCTTCCTTTCCCATACCATCCTTCCAGCAGAGAACAGACAAGGAATCAGGCATGTCAGAAGGGCAGGGTTTTTGTTTTAAGAGCCTAATTCCAGAGTGTCCAGGTGGTATTCACCAGGTTTCAAAATTTGTGGATATTTTTGCAAATTACTCCCAGGGGAAGGGGGGGAGCAGAGGGAGGGAGGGAGAGAGAGAAAATGTGAATGTAATTTAAGATCACTTTTAAGATGGCATATAAGAAAAAAAGTTCATGGTTTTTAAAATGTGAACAAAGTGAAAAAGATTTAGAAGGTTTAGACTGGGGAAAATATTATTCCATGTATTCATTATTAAGCTTGGATATTTAAATTTAAGATTAAAAATATTAGAAGAAATGTTTCACCCTAAGCCAGATGGATACTCTGTTTGGAATAAAGAGTCAAATGAAATATGGTGCAAGTGTATTATTTTCCTTAGTAGTTTCATTGCCAGTTAATAACAAAGTGCCTATGCTGCCATAAACAAAACTGTAAGGGAAACATTTCCATTCTAATTCAAGCCTATTGTATCTGAGGGCCAAAGCAGCTTCAGAGATAGGAATTATAGTGAGCAGCCATTGTCTGAGAGAGCTGTTTTATAGCAAATTAAATATTAATAATTTGTCAGATATGCCTCCATAAGAAGAGAATGCAAAAAAAAAATAGGTAAGAAAATGGAAGAGAGAAGAGGGGAGGACAA